ATATTCCAATTTATTCATGATGACGACAGCACCTCCTTTGTCAGCCTTTTTGATTCTTTATTGGGAGGGTGATGCAAAACCTTTCACTAAACAAAGTTTTGATGGCTGAGTCCAGTTAACATTGTTGCTTAAATTACTGACACCTTCTGTCCTCCGCTCTCCAGTTGGTACCCAATGAATTCCGTGTTTCCATCCCAACTGAGCTTCTTTCTGCTCATTCCCCGATCAGCCAAAGTACTGCATCATTGGGTCTGTCTGCTGTTTGTGTCCCGTTGCTGTCTTGGGTTGGAGGTGATACATTACACCTTTGGGGCTTACATAATTTATAAGGAAGGCAAAGTCTGAACAGAGCAGCTTCTCTTAGGTCTGAAAAGTTGTACTAACGAAACTAAATCAATTTCAAAAGCTTTTTAATTTTGATATAGACTAAGCCCTTACTTTTGGGAAACAAGATAAAAGTAGGATGGGAATCTCTTAATACAAAGTCATGGCAAGGGATGTGCCAGATTTCTATAGATTGACACAAGCTCCTCAACTAACCAACATTTTTAACTGAAAGCTTTCTCTTTTGTGGATGGTAATCTGAACACCTTTATCTTCTGTAAAATAGTGAAAGTATGACATAATGAGCACTTGGAAAAAAGTCTTGTTATGGTGAAAGGCTGGGACTAAACTTACAAAAGACAAGATTGTCTTTATTAAAAAAAAGAGCGGTCACTGACATGTCCTTTATCTGTCTCAAAAATACCTCAAACTACTTTCAAACTCAGTTGACCTCTGGTAACATATCAGAAGATGTCTATGGCTGGCAGTGCTATTGATAGCCCCATGCTTTCATTTTACTATGAAGGGGACTCCTTTTTTCTAAAACTTTTGGTTCCCTCCATTGGGGAAAAGATGCACAGTGGAAGGGGCTTTTCCACCTTGAAAACATTAATAAAGGGTGGGCACCTTTTTTTTGAGGTAAGGGGAAAAGAGGGGCATTTGTCACAAATCTATTTGCTTAGTATGTCTTTTTCTATTTAGCTTTCGCTTAGCAACAAAGCTTGTACTATGGACCTATAATGTTATGTTTCTTGCTTAGCACATACTTAGACATCAAAAAAAGTATGTGGATGAAGGGTTTGAGTTTTTTGTTTTTGTTTGGATAAAACTGACCTTATTATACTTGAGACTTTTGTAGGAGTTCTATCAGAAAAATATCAAGACAACTTAAACGTATTTGGGAGGTGTAGAGAGGTTAGCTGGGGCTCATCCCTCTCCAGGGTGGCAGAGAACCACACCACCTCCCTTAGTCCTTGCACGGCCTCTTGAGGAATCAGTCAAGCTGCAGGGGTCCTGGCACAAGCAGTCCGGCAGGGGGTTGATCACACACAGGTAACAATTAACGGCTAATAAGCCCAGGCCTCGGGTCAGGGCAGGGCAGTAAAGAGTCCAAGGCTCAGGTCCTCAGGCAGGGGCTGAGCAAACACCGGTAAATAGCACACTCAGGCTTCAGGCTCTGAGCAGCCTGGGAGAGGGGGAGACTGCCACCCACGCGTTGGGGGGTGGGGGGGAGACGCAGGCCCTCCCACTCCACTACGTCCCAGCCTGGGGCCCTAGCAGCGGCCAAAGGGCTGCTGCTGTCAGTGGGGATCCTGGCCGCAACACACTGACGTGAGTTCCAGCTGTGTTGTAGCCAGACCCGGGTTGGCTGCCCCCGGGCTACTTCCCAACATCCCCTCTGGAGGTACCTGGGTCAAGGTGGTATCTTCGGGGGGGAGGGGGTCAATCACCACTGGATCCTCGGGGTAGCTGGCGAGGGGTAGGCTCAGTGACTCTCCCACACACTGGTTCGCATCGAGTGTCAGCAGGTCAGGCCAGTCTCCAGGTCCGCCATTGGTTGCTGGAGTCTCCCCAGCGGGAGCTGGGCCAAAGGTGTCTAGCCTCTCCAGTGGCTGCCTCTTGTGAGCTCTTGGGTTGAGTTCTTGTACTTCCTGTTCAGCCTCTGACTCTATGGGGGACAGCCTTGGAGTGCCTGGCTTTGCCCACTTTGGTGTCCGGCGGAGCTCGTCCCTCTCCGGGGCACCGGGGAACCACATCGCCTCCCTACAGGAGGCTTGTTTGCTTTTGTCATATTTTACTTTAAACAGCCTTTTCTTCCACTTATTTTTGTTTGTTTCCCTTACAGCCTCGGTTTCTACTTTATAACAGTCCTTTCTCTGTCCCTGTGATGCCTCCACCAATTAGCACTGCTTCCCTTTCTAATAACTATAAAGGCTCTGTTCCTCTGCGAATGAGTATCCCATGTGCGGTCACCAGTGCTGCAAGATATAATCCACAGGCAGGCATATATACTTTTTTTATTTTTCACCTCCTTTGCACTATAATGTATTCTGCTGAAGTGTCCTAGTTTTTAACAGCTTAATTCTCCATTGTGATTTGCCTCTGGATAATGCACACCAGAACACTAATGTTAATGTGGAATGTTTTGACACTAATAACTGCATTAGAGAACTGGAACGGTGCTTAATGTAAATGTTGAAAAAATAGAACACTTCAAAATGGCCAATACTCTTATCTAAGTATTCCCCTCTGCCCAACAGTTTTGACTTATGTCATAAATACAACATAATGACAAATGTGTTAAGAAAACATTACTAACCATTTTTGACAGATTATGCACACAGACTACAAGAGAGGAATTGGGTAAATGGTTTTGGAGGAAAGAAGCATTTTTCTTAACCATTTTTGCTTATTTGTTCCTCCTGGAAAAATTAACTGAGGCCAATTATATATCTGAAAAAGCATTTTTTTTTTCATTTTTCTAAAACTGTACAATAAATGGCCTTTATCTTGTAACTTTCACTGCCTCCCTACACTCTGCCCGCTAATCCATTTCTGCTAGGGCCTACTACTTACATTCCAAATCTCTAGGCAGCTTTTAAGCAGTCTGGCCTTTTTGTTAATTTAATAAAAAAAAAAGAAAATCTGGTACAAGAAATGTTCTCTCTATCCCCTCCCCAAGCAAAACTATCACTAGTCTGTGGCTCAACCCTGACTAAATCCATTCTTGTGCCTGATATCTCACAATTCATCAGAGCTAGAAATGTCTGTAGCCCACAAAAGAGCTGGGATCTCAGATCTTGTAATAGTATAAAGAATCTGTTCCTGGCTTCAGCCAGCTGCACTATATTGGGCCTTACAATTGCAACATTTGACATGTAGTAGTCTTTTTTTCTAAGTTGTAAAATGTATCATTTTATCTACCTCCCATTTATAGAGTTAGACTCGAAGCCAAAATTCTTTTAGTACATAGTTGGAGGATATGAAAAACAGAAATTAAAAAAATAAAAATTGGCTTTATAGGTGGAGAATATGAAAACAATAAATTTAGATTTAACTGTAAAAAAATGTAGCATAAGAAAAATATGTAAATGTGTGTTTGAAGCTTCTATTGACGATTGTGAGGCAACATTCAAAAAATGCAATAATCTCAAACTTCCCCAGTAAAGCTTTATCCCCCCCAACTTTTATTAAGTTAGTTTACCTATAGATTAATTATTCACATAATGTATTTACTTCTAGATGTATTAAAAATTAGCCCATTGCCTAAGCCTCTGGTTGCATTTACAGCAATAAATGCAATAATACAGATATTATACTGTTCCAAAGGGGGTACATCAGGCATTCCCTCACAGATGCAGTTTCCTCTCAAGAACACAAACTAGGGGCCTTCTCCTGCTTCTCTTGAATTCAATGAGAGTTTTGTCATTGGCTTCAGTGGAAGCAGAATCTGGCTCCAGAAGCCAGTGGGCATGCCTTTTCACTGCGCTGCACCAGTTTGAGCCATGTATTTTCACTGTAGACAATGGAGTCGTGCAAGCATAAAACTAGTGTAGTACAGCAGAGATCTAGGCCTGATGTCCCTGAGTAGTTACCCAAGTGATCTTTTAAAAAAGAAGGGACTTTAAAAATCACAAAATATGGTTTAATGGTACAATGACGATTGTGTTCTATTTGGGAGAGGAAAAATGTGTGCTGTCTGTGGTGATGGGAGCCTTATAAACACACAGGAGTCTTGTCCAATGCTTTTGTTTTTCACTCTCTCTAAATTGTATAGGTACGCATCAACTTATCAGCAAATTCCACCAGCACTCCGTTACATGAGACGAGACCTTGTCCACCAACCTCCACTCCTTTAGTGCCCCCAAACTCAGGCCATGTGTAAGTTGTGGTGTTTTGTTTTTGTTTTTTCCTTTTTGTATTTTTGCTGAGTGATATAACAAACTACATCATTTTATGGTAACTTCTAAAGACCAAGATTACACAAGCTCTATTTTCACTTTTGTGTGTGTGTGTGTGTGTGTGTGTGTGTGTGTGTAGTAAGCTTCTTATAAGAAAATCACTATTA